GCCAGATTCCGGCGGTGGTGGCCGGAATCTGACACTGCAGGTGGTGGGGGTGTTTTTGTCATTTTATATGTTAGGGTCTTTAGTTAAATTAGTAAACCTAAGGGCTTTTTTACAAATTTTTAAAATTTACCTCGTAATACTCCCATATCCAATAACCCAATACTATCCCTAAAATCCTATCCAAAATACTAAACCAAACGCACCCAAAGAGATTAAAGCAAATTTAAACATGTTACAAAGATAAGAAGATGGTAAAAACCAACATATGAATCCTTTTTATTTTTTTTTTTTTTTTTCATGTTTAGGGTGTTTAGATCAGTTTACATGTACCTCCCTCAACTAATATTTGAGATCCATTGAACATCTTATAGACTTAAAAAACTAGATAAACCACAATATTATTATGATAAGTAATCCCAAAATTTAAACTAAAAAACTCGAGGAAAGAAACAAACCTTCTGGACCGCGCAGGCTACAACTTGGAGTTAATATCATTCATCCTTTTCATCTGCATTATTGCATAAAGAAGGCAATAAATCTTATATTATCTTTCACTGATAACAGAAGGACCTACAACGAAAGGAGAAGAAGAGAGAGGCCTAGTTTACTAGGGCATGGATTTGAGATATATATATATATATATAAGAGGTGTCATGTACATGTCAGTTTTGTATGAATGATTTCATAAAGTGAGTGTGGGATTTAATTCATTTAACTTAGCTTAGAGAAAAGAAAGAATAAGAGGCCGGCCCCTACCAATATGTTTCAGAATTATAAAAGTAGGGAAAGGGAGCTTTTTCCAGTTTTTTTTTTTTTTTTTTTTTTTGCATTGATTGGACTCATGACATTTTGATCATGGATATGTAGTAACTGTCAGTCAGACACAAACCATAGAACCATATTATACTTACTCATCATCTTACTAACCATCTTACTATCCTTTGTAAATATAACGCATAGTACTGATACTATACGCATAGTACAAGTACCATGTAAAATTTTAACAAAGGTTGTATGGCAGTTAGCACAAGTGGTGAGTAAACATAGTGTTTTTCCAAACGATATACCTACCAAAGCAGAGAACATCCCCACCTCAAATCAGAAGAAAAAAATCATATATTACTTTAGTTTTATTTCATCATTTATATATGAATATGAATATATCTCTATCATTCAACTGAGATGTGTCAGTGAGAGACAAGTTGTCTGAGTGGTTACTATCATCATTGCTGTGACCCATCTGGAACCTACCCCCACCTTATTATTCTTTGTTCTATGGTTTCATAAATCTAACTCACAAGCCTGCGGTCCCCCAAATAGTCAAGCTTTTTGTTTTCAACATGCTGATGGAAAATACTAAAAGCTATTCTGCACTTGTGTATGCATATACATTTACCCCTAGGTTTCAGGTCCATTAATCTGATTATGACAAATATGTTTTAATTTAACTTCTTAAACTAGCTGATTATGTAAACGTGATGTTATATTCAAAGGATGCAAGACCAAGCCCTTAGGGTGGATAAAATATTTCTCCCATATTTATATAATTAATAGAAAGAGAAATTATGTGTCAACTTCACTATCATTTCCATTCATTTTTAACTTTAGTTTTGATTAATACTCAGACTTATGGCATGGAATATTTATGGATTTATTCAATAATTAATATTGGTCCGCATTAATTACAACTTTCACTTATTAATAAAAACCGTGTGAGTTATTGCTCCTGCTATGTATATATTTGAATGATTGAATCTCATAAGATTTTAGTAATGTAAATGAAAATGAAAGATTTTCTATCTTTAATTTCCATAAACTTCCAAAGAGTTTTTCTATTTTTCCAAATGATATAGTAAAGGTACAATACACAGGTGTTGAAGATGAAAGATCTATGGATAATTTGTATAATCTTATATATAAACGTCCGTGGGGTCAAGCTCAATTCACTCAACCTGTCTCATATAAGTTTTTCTCCTTATTTAAACAATGTTAGATTCTACATCTAATGGTTATGAAATACATGAACGTATCAGCCCTACTGAAAAACCTCCAAGCATCCAACCTTAATTTTATCCAATTGATCATTAACTCGAAAAAAATTAAATTAAGGGTGTTGTCCTTAATCACTTTTGATTCAACTAGTCAACTTTAAAAATAATTTGGAATGTGTTTGGTAAATTTGATTTTTCAAGTTGTTGTAAGTTTAAATCTTTTAATCCTTTCTTTACTCTTATTTGGATATCTTTCATTGTTGACAACATCTGTATCACCCACCCACTTGGACTTAAAACGTTAGCTAAACTTTCAATATTNCCAACGGATGAAGACTCGTCCTCATCAGCTACAGCTATTTCAAATACCGCAACTGGTGACACTTGACATGCTAACAGTATTGATGGTTATTTTTTTGTTGTATGGGCAGTAGATATTTTGACATGGGGGTATAACCATCTTTTTAGGATTGTTTGCATATATGTGTTAGATGATGTACATGGGGTGGGCATTTTTTTGTTAGTTATGCACAGATAGATAGGTAGTGGGGAAAATGTGGGTGTATGCTGTTCTTTAGGGTTATCCACATGTGATAGTGCATTTTGGATTTTTATGCACATCATGCATAAAAATCCATATATATATATATATATATGATAATTGATTTAGTGATCAAATTTTTATATTGTGTCCATTATTTTGTTGATGTTGAATCTATAATGTAGGTCAATACGAAATGCTCTAAAAAAAACACATTCTGCAACTAATTTTTTAGTAGCAAAAAGTCATTTAGCATAATTGCATTCCGCTGAAGGTCAATATGAAATGCTCTAAAAAAACACATTCCGCAACTAATGTTTTAGCAGCAAAAAGTAATTTAGTATAACTGCTTTCATATTCAGCGTCTAAAAAATAGTCGCGAAAACCTTTTGGATTTCACATTCAGCGTCTAAAATGATTACAATTAACCACTAAATTTTAGTTACCAAACGATACACTCGTTCACTAATAAAATAGTCGCGAAAACTTATTGGATTCTACATTCAGCGTCTAAAATAACTATAATTAACCATTAAATTTTGATCACCAAAAGATACATTCGGCCATTAATAAAATAGTCACGAAAACCTATTGGATTTCACATTCAGTGTTTAAAATGACTATAATTAACTACTAAATTTTGGTTACCAAAAGATACATTCGGCCACTAATAAAATAGTCGCGAAAACCTATTGGATTTCACATTCAGCGTCTAAAATAACTATAATTAACTACTAAATTTTGGTCACCAAAAGATACATTTGACTACTAATAAAATGGTCGCGAAAACCTATTGGATTCCACATTCAGCATCTAAAATAACTATAATTAACTACTAAATTTTGGTCACCAAAAGATACATTCGGCCACTAATAAAATAGTCGCAAAAACCGTTTGGATTCTACATTCAGCGTCTAAAAGTATTACAATTAACCACTAAATTTTGGTCACCAAAAGATACATTCGTCAACTAATAAAATAGTTGCGAAAATTTTTTACGAAATTACCCTTACACCTTTGGCGTCTAATTTTTGTGGGATTAGCGACAAATTATTAGACACTAAAACGTACATTTTGCAACTAATTGATTAATCGCTATACAATTTTACCAAATTATCCTTGAACTTTTAGCGTCTAAGTTGGGGAACTATTTTGACCAGAATTTAGCGACTATTTTGCTAGTTGCAAAAAAAAACTTTCCGCGTCTAAACAAAAATTTAGACGCGCAATGAATCTGCGACAGCGATACTGCAACTAAGGGACGACTACCAAATTTAGACGCGAAAATGGCTTAGCATCTAAATGTGATATTTTACGTCTAATTTTACTAGACGCAGAATGCCAGTTTTCTTATAGTGGTGAAACTAGGGGTGTTATCGAGCCGAGCCGAGCCGAGTTTTCGGCTTAACGAGCTCGGCTCATGAGAGAGGAATAATAAATGAGCTGAGCCCGAGTCGAGCCAAGCCAGAAATTATATGACTCGGCTCGGCTCGACAATAAATTTGGTATATTTCGAGCTAGCGCGCAAGCCAGCTTATCGAGCCGAGTTCGAGTCGGCTCGCGAGCCATCTCCAAATAACTCTGTTTTTTTCTTTTTTTTACTACAAAAATTCGCTGGGCAGCAGCCCACCTCCAAATAATTTTGAAGCTGAATCATGTTCAATATTGAAAATGAGAAAATTAGTTTAAAATATTTAAATATGGCCGACGAATTCAGAAGGGCTTAAAATTGAAATATCATAATTTAACTTTTCATTAATTTGCTGGGCAGAGCAAGTTTGACCCCAGTCCAATTCAAATAAATTTGATTAATATTTGCAAACAACATTAACAGTTTATTTTAACTCGCCAATTTAGATAAATAAATATATATATCCTCCGTTTTTCACCTCAGATATCCTCAGGAAGTGACCCCTGTTGTTGCTCCCTAAATCAAAGAAGAATCTCTTCTGATCGGCTCTGATTACTTTTGAAACCCCCATGTTACCTATTTCATCTTGTGCCGGCAAGTCAACCGACCTGTCAACATTCAGTTCAGAAGCAGAGGCAGGTTGGCTACTATGGCCAGAAATGAAGCCAGCCCCAACATCATCTGAAAGCCCAACAAGACGCTCTGAAGGTTCAGAACTTTGCTATTTTCACACACACATACAATAGAACCAAAAAAGACATCTGATAAATGCAACAATTGTATGTGTAAAAACAGAAAAGGGGTTTATGCATGCTCTGCAAGTACGCCTGATTGGGCAATATGAAAAGCCGCGATGCTTCATTAATTTCTGCCAGAATGTTTCTGAATGCTGTCCACCCTTCGTCCCGAGAACTTCCAGCAGGAACAATAATAGTACTGCGATTTCTACTAACAGATGCTTCCGATACCTGCAGAAATAAATTTAATAAGGCAATAAGTTTTAGGAATAACAATACTAACCATTAGATTAGCCTTATCATCTTCACACTTATAAAGACGCATAAGAAGACAAAACTGGAATACCGAAGTACTAAAAGCCTTATCATCTACAGTGTGTGAAGGTGAAAATCTGTTCCCATTCCTTCAATTTTTCAAACTAAATTTCAGGCACATTTGTACACCAAAGATTGATCTCGAAGAAAAGAATTGGAAATCTCCAAATTTTGCATAAGACTTCCAATAGGCAACTAAAAATGATTCAAAATCCAACAAGAAAAACAATTAATATAGAAAAATATATAACAGATAAAATATTGTGCTTAATGGCTTAGAAAGGAACATGACACAGGGATCTTTCACAAAAATATCAATGGAGGTTAGTTGAACTACGCAAATATTCCAGAGATATTATCATCCCATTGGTACAGGAATAATCCCAAAACAAGGAGCACAAGATCCGACAAAGAAACCCCTTACTCACCGATTAAAGTCTGACGAAAATCCGACGAAGATGATGATAAACCGACGAAGAAACTTCAGATCTGACGAAGACGATTCAGATCTGACGAAGAACATTCAGATCTGATGAAGCTCGTAGGAAGAAGACGAAGTTCTGATGAAGATCCAACGGCTGCCGAAGGTCCGACGACGATGAACAATATCCCACGAAGATCCCGCGAAGCTGACGAAGATGAACAAGATCTGGCCGAAAATCGTTACTTTGGGAGGAGTTTGATTCAAATTTTACGGCAAGGGTTCCACTGTGACCGATTTTTTGCGATTTGGGGATTTTAATAACAGGGGCCATTTTGTTATTTTTTAAAACTTGTTTGCATTATTTTCAATTAAATCTCAATAGTTCAGAAATTCTCAAAAAACACCCCACTTTTTCGAGGCAGGCGCGGCTCGTGAGCCTGACGAGCCGAGCCTTCTATGGCTCGAACTCGGCTCGTTTTATCTCACGAGCCGAGTCGAGCCGGCTCGTTATCTGACGAACCGAGCCGTTAACGAGCCGGACTCGAGTCAAGCCAAGCCGGCTTGCGAGCGGCTCGGTTCGTTAACCAGCCCTAGGTGAAACTAAAGTTGCAAGTAGAGCTCCATCACGTTTTACATCTGCTGAATATTTCTGGTTTTAGGAGGCTCAAGTCTTTTGCTTTATTTAGGGTTTGAGTTACTGAGTTATAAATTGTTTCAAAACTTTGTATCCAGTTTTTCCTTTCTTGAGAATTTGGAAATGGAAGGATGCATTTTCTGTGACTTTAAGATCCTTGATATGTCTGGTACAAGTTTGAAGCTTCTAAGCATAAATACGATAGTTTTTCCGATCATGGTTGGTGGCATTGGTTTAAAAAAATGTGAAATTAAGGTTGCTTGTCCAAGTCTTGTGTCCTTGGATTTCATTGGTCCTTTTGCATGGGACTTCTCCTTTCAGGAACTAAACTCTTTACAGAATGTGTTCATTTACTTAGAAACTATGCCTCAGAAGACACCGGTATTACAATGTCAACATGTTACACATAAAATCCTCGAAGGACTTCACAACATCAAAGTTTTGAAACTAGCAGGGGAGTTTCTGGAGGCATGTGTTCATATTTCTCATTGTGTTTTTAAGTCATGAAGGGAGTAAATAGTTGCATACCACTTTGTTTGACATCAAATGGATTTGAAGGCATATTGGTTATATTGCAATAGCTAGGCTTTCAAAATTGGTGAGATCAAGATGGGGGATATTGGATATGTACTTTGTTTAGCTTTAATTTCCCTGTTACTTCTATTCTTTGAATTGATCAACAGCAGAACTTGGGTACTTGCTTTTTGTTTTCTCATTTAAGTACATACAGAAATTTAAGTGCATTGTCTGATCATTTTGTTACCTCTTATATATAAACAATTTAACTATTGTAAAGATATTCTAGTTTATTTTGCTAATCTTGAGGCTTGGTAGTATTTATATCCCTTGGTTTAATTGAAGATTTATATGCTTGAAATACCAAGGGCATTATTTGATGTAATTACTAATAGTATTTTGTTCGTAATTATCTTGCTTTCCTTGCATTACGATTGTTTTCTTCTTGTGCCTCTAGTTACTTTTCTTTGTGCTTGCTGTGCCATTCCATCATTTGAAGTCTTTAAATCTGTCTGTCTTCACGGTTTGCTGGAACGTGCAATCAATAATCAACTTGCTGAATTTCTCTCCAAATCTTGAAGCTCTTAAAATATTTTCTGAATGGGTAATTTCAACTCGTAAAATCTTTTCTACTGTTATACTAATTTCTTTTTGCTCAGTGTGGTAGAATTCAATCTGGTGTATGATCATTTGTGTTTCATTTGATTTAGTACAATATAGTCAACCCGGGTGTTGTATACAACCTGATTTACTTAGTTCTCCAAAGGTAAGATTGTCGAGTATTAATAGCCAATTCATTTCTTCTTGTGTTCAAAAGATGATATTTTTTTTTTTTTTTTTATCGTATTTACATAGTGATTTTTAGGAAATCAAAAGCATGCTTTTGGTTCGTTCCATAATTGGAGCACCATTGCATAATGTTTGATTATCTGGTTGAAAGGATTATGGATGTCCTTCTTACTAATTGTTTCTAAAATTTGTTTTCCTATTGATTTAAATGCTTAGTTTTTATTTTGCCTTGAGATACAGTGTGAACCAAGCAAATGTTTTCATATACCGAATAAAGCAATTTCATGCTTGACATGTCATCTCAAGGTGGTTGAGCTAGGTGAGTTTGAAGGTAATGAAAATGAAGTTGAATGGTGAGATTTTTGCTGAAGAATGGACATGAATTGCAAAAGATGCTTATTACCTCGATGGAAGAGGAAGACATTAAGAATTGCAGGATGATTGTGCGAGAGATAAAGAAACTGCCAAGATCATCTTCAATTGTTGCTTTGATATTCTTCAAGTCTAAGTCAACAGAAGATTCAGTAGATGAATTTTATGTGGCATATGAGTAATATGCAGTTGATTAAAAACATGAAATATATTTTTGAGTTGTTCCATAAATTTTATAATATAATATGGGAATAGTAGCAGTAACGGCGGCTGCCTAAGTTTGTTTTTTAATTTTTAGAAATCCTAGAGTTATTTCATTTGTTTGTATTTTATGTTGTAGCCATGGTTTTGTCTTATTTGTTTGCTTCGGTTGTGATGCATCAATATTTTAGTTGAAGAATCTCCAAACGTTTCCAGGGACGGTTTACATATGAACTTCAAGATTTGACACAACAATACTCAGGGTTATTGGTGAGAAAACAACTAATCCACCCATAAATACAATTGGTTTTGTGTCTTATGATGAACACAGCCCATTTTATATATAGGCTTCACATGCTCATATTTATTTCTGAGATCACAGCTGAGGCTACACACATCGTTGTTATTATAAAATTCAAAACATCTAACACCGACAAGAGCATTTGATGTCGCTACCCATCCTTAAATATTTTTATATCCCTTTACTCTTATATTTCTTTTCTATATCTATTTTACCTTCAAATCTCTGAACAGAAATTGTTCCTCTACAACTTGTTTATTTTAAGAATGATGATTATTAGTGTGAGTTGATTGAAGAGTACCAACGGATTTTCATTCCAGACGATTTAGTTAACAATAGGAAAAGTGAGATTCATTAGAACCTTCAATCAGTACATAATCAACATGAAGAGCTAGTTGTAATGATCATATATATATAGCAAACTGGTTAAGAAGAAGGAAGGTCATCAGGTTGAATATTATTACTCTTGGACATACAACACTCATTGAACCAGTGGATTAAACAACGAATCACAGAAGGCAGATCAACAGCAATCAAGACATATATAAGATTCACATAATCATCAAGCGTAACAGCATAAAGAGTGGAAGCATAAGTTACCAACATTGCAGCAGTAGCAACACATATCTCGAAATGGAAAGGAAACCTATAGGTGAGTGATACTATCTAAAGTATGGATCTAGAAAGAGCCAGGGAGTTGGATATTTGAGATGCAAAAATTGCCCTGCTTGGAACACCTCCACCATCATCATCTTGCCAAACACCACCAGAAGGATTCACTCCAGCTTGAAAAGTTACTGTTGCAATGAGAGTAACCACCACCAGGATCACATTTCGGGCATCGCTCGGCGAGTCCCTGCCTTCTTCATACTGGAACCAGCTTTTCTCACTGCTTAAAGTAGGGCCTTTTAGGCATTTTGTTGATCCGCAATATAGAAAATGATGCAAAAAACTTGCCTTTTGAGGATGTTTATATGGAAACTCAAATGGGGAATGACGAGTCAATTTTAGATATATGGTTTTTCTTGTTATATAAATCAAATAGTCACTAGGGAGACAGAGATTACATCATATGGATTGGCCAGCCTCGATTTTATATATTACTGAAAAACGAATAGGAAGAACAAATTAAAAGGAAGTCGACACAGGATAAGTATATATCTTTGCTGCTGTGTTTCAGAAAACATCCAAGTCTTTGATAAATAGTTGTTCTGAGATGACGTAGACCATTATTATCAATCAAAATATTCAATAGAAGCCTCCAATATATGTCATGTCAAGGCTGCTACAATATAGGCGACATGTCAAGTTTCCAACGATTAATACATTGTATAATCTAAATAATTGAGGAGATCACCGGGAAAAAGCAATGGAGGCACTAGAACTTTGGTGAAAGAAAAAAGCCAATAACCAGTTATTCAGTCTAATTAATTAGGCATGGAGAAAGATTGTACAAGCTTTTTATTAATGACAAATTGAAAGGGAAATTAAGCAGAAGAATACACAGAGACAGATTCTAATTCTAGTATAAGAAATTTCACATGTCTTCAATTGCATCTGCTCGTCTGTTCCTGACATGCTCTGATCAATGCCATTGGCAAAGTGTGGAAAACTACAGCTATGAGAATTCCAAGTCTTGACACACACCGCCAGGAGGGTATAACCATTAGAACAGCTATCAAAGCATCACGTGGAGAATGAACTGAATCTCTATTTTTCTTGAACTTGATGCAGAGGCGGAAGCAAAAGGGTGGTGGCACACCTGAGCAGCTGCAGGTAGGGCGATTTTGAGGGAAAACAATTATATTGAAATGTTTCAAAATTTATGATTATGACATGTAGTCATATTGAATTAATTTCAGAAAATATCTTACTGAAGTTTCTTATTAAATTGTTAAAATGTAAAATATGTGTGGGGGTGAGAGGAAGAATAAGGTGAAGTATATATGGTTTTGGGAGAGGTGGGTAGGTTGAGTCTTTTCAACGGCAATGGTTAGGTTAACTACTGGTGGTGATAAGTGTAAGTGGAGCCTTGAGAAAACAACCAAACCACCCATAAGTTTCAGTCAAACATAGTTTTCTATTCTATATATATTATGTATTAGCGAGAAACCTGATGTAATTAAAAAAAAAAAAAAAAAAAAAAGTGAGCTACCGACGTTATTCATTGTAATTGTTGTTGAGTTATGAAATTTAATCAAAGTTCTCTATTTGAATGCTGGACATAATTCCTTAATCAGAACAAACCAAGGTAAATCAAGTGTCCTATTTATTTTTCTGTTCTCTTTTATTGTGTTTATTTGACTTAGGTTTCAATAATAGTAACATTACCAAGACAACTAACAAGCTAAGCAGCAAACTGTAAATAAACACCAAGAAACCAATTTGAATAAATTGATGTAAGCAAAGAAGAATGAACGAGAGAGGATAATATTTGAAATATTCCTGAATGTTCTTATTCAAATAAATGAATAAAACCTCTAATGTGCGATTCCCAGATGCTAATAATGCTTGTATCAAATATCATTATTTTGGTATGATACGAATGAATTCATATCCTGGGAGGGCCAAATTAGTAGACGGTCCTTTTCAGCATTTTTGTGTAAAGTGGATGCTCTCAGAACTTAAACTATGCATGTGACATTTAGTAGTGACTTTTGCTATTGCAACAGGCTGTATTGTGATATAAACAGAAAGTAAGACCATATTTTTAAAACTTGTTTCTTCAAGCAGCAGCAGCAAATATGAAGCTAGTAGTTCTGTCAGCTTATACCAAGCAATTCTACATATCAATTGAGATGGGAACTTGGACATAATGTTCCTTACCTGAAGATTTTAATTATTAATTTAGCTGAAAAAGATAAATCAAGCAATTACATTTGAAACTCTCTTATAAAAATAAAGAGTTCCTCAAAAAAAAAAAAAAACATAACAAAAATCCCCAAAATGTAATTGCCATGTTTTATACAAAGTTGAAGCTCATACAGATTATACAGTGATTGAAACCCACAATATCTGAAGAGTCACAGCTAAAACCATGGCCACCATCAAACTCTTCGACTGCATCAACAATACACTGGCAGAAGAATCCTGCATTGAACTTTTGGAACCTGAAGAAGAAGAACCTTTGAGGCAGGTGAGTGGGTTGACATGTTGCCCACATTTTCCAGGCAATTGCTGAGCTTCAGTGACATTGATCCCCGCCTGCTCAGCTTGAGTACTCCCTTCGTTGCTTATCAATGCACACAAGCATTGCGGTTTCGACTTTATCACCGATTTCAGAGGATCACAGCAACTATCCGGCACGTCGTTCCGTCCGTCAAGATACGGCATACAAGCCACGAGCTGATTCAGGCATGCCGCGTCCTGAGCCCACGATCCCTTCACCTCCAACATGGCCAACACCACCACTACCACCACCACTGCAACTCCACTGCTCCTCCACAACTTCATCATCTTTCTTAATATGTCTTTTTACTTCCGTTTAATTTGTTGTCTCACGGGAGTACTTGCATGCATATATATATATATATATATATATATATATATATATGTATCTCTGTAGAGACATATATAGAGAGAAGGAGAGAGTGAGGAAGAATCAGAAAAAAGGGAAATGAGTTGGTGAGACAACAAGTGGCTCCACGGTTGACTTAGATAATAAAGATTAGTTTTTCAGAGATGAAGGTGGTGACAGTTGGGAGAGACGGTAATGGCCGTTGCACAGGTGAAGCTACTCTGTGGATATATCTAATTAAAAAATGTGTAATAGACTGCGACCCAACTCCATTGAAGTCTTATACAGCATCTTAATTACATGCAAGTGTGACATATATTATTACTAATTATAACATAATTAATTAATTAATCTGATGGACTTGATCAATTAATCTAAGAAATCTCGATCCAAATCCCTAGTCAAAACATATAAATGTCAATTAACTTATCAGATCGTGATCACAAGTAATGTCAAGAAATGCCAAAAATTAATAAAAAAAAGAACAATATGCTTTTAATTTATTGGATAACTTATGAGGAAATAAATAAATAAAAATCCTAATTCCGTAAACTATAATATAAATGCCCAAGGAACCAAAAGAATTGTTGTCTTTTGCACTTATTTGGGAAATTAATTATTTTTTCCTCTCCCTTCATCGGTAGAAATAAAGGATGGATAGTTGAGGAATAATATAATTAAAGATAACAAAATTATTAATCACTTAACGTTATTGATAGCATAGTCATTATTTAAGCCAGATGCTAATTATTTTACAACTTTCTTGCCAAACTTAAATTTCTCTTAGATTAATGCATCGGCCTTTCGATTTTCCTTTACATGAGCCAAACTTAGCTCATGTAAATGGCAGCCGTAGGCTTTCTCATGGCATGGTAAAGTTGACATCAACACCAGTAAGAACAGGATTGGATTCTGCGACCTGGCTCCAAACTGTGATTTCTCCACTTCCCGCAAAGCCATCACCAGAATTGGAGAAATTTCTTCAATTGGGTAATGGCAAATTGGCAATATAGTTAATCAGGTAATAAGTCGAGCAAACATAATACTAGAGGCCTTGTTTCCAAGCAGACAATAGCTGGTCAATTGGAGCCTATTTAATGTTAATTTAAGGATAATTTGTGGACGGGACAAGAAAGTAATGAAGCTTTGAAATTGTACTATAAGGTTTTGGAATCCATCTGTACATCAGATGCTCAAAAATTGAGTGAAGGAGGAGATCTGAGTGGTTTGCTAACTAATGAAAAGTTCCATAGATCCATGCTAGCTTGTGCAGCTGAACTAATATCCGCAGCGCATTTTAAATATAGTGTAGTGTTAACAGTGGTGATGCAGAGAACTTGAATTACAGCATTTGATATGAGTAAAGTGACAAAGAGAGTTTCATCAAACATGAAGATTCACTCCCCAGAGAATTGAAGCGACACTTGAATTCTTTGGAGAAGTTGTTAGAAAGCATGGTGTGGGAAAAGGGTTCCTCCTTGTACAATCCTTTGATTGTTGCAAAACCATCTCTTTCTGATGAAATAAAGCGACTTAATCTGCTAGCTGACCCTATGCCATCACTGGATGAAATTGCCATGAGTAATCACGTTGCTTCAGGAGGCTTGCTTCATCAACAGTTCTTGAAGTTGTCAGCCGGTGATTACTCATGTTTGATCTGCTTCATGTATTGTTTCGCCGCATCAAACTTAAACCTTAATTAACTTGATTCTGTCAATTTCATGAGCAAAGAGAATGTGTGATGAGTATGGTAACAGGCTGGTAAAACATATTTCTTCTGCATCAGCAACCCCACCATCTTTGCAAACAGCATTTGTCAGGCATGATTTTCTTCAATTAGAATGCTACTATGTTGTGTCTTTTGTTGAAGATCTTAGAAGTGTAAACGTAAAAATCTACCTGTACAGAAAGAGAGTCTGATCCTGTGAGGTTGAGGCCACTAGCGATCTGTTGTACCTGCACACGTAAAGAAGCAAATGTGAAGCGACGGAAAACACCAGGGTGGTGTTTGTCGTAGGCACTCCGACGCTCAAGTCAGCAAGGCTGAAAAAGGCTGATTTAGTGAGGGCTAGGGAGTAGAGAGGTTACCAAAAGTCTAGTCGGGGACTATGACTACGGCTGTGATGTGAAGTTCTCAAGCTAGAACTCCGGGGTCCGAAGGTGTAGTGTAATCCCTCTTGTGAGAGGGTTGACCTTTGTTTAAATAGTGACTGTCTAGTCTCCCAATCTTGGTGGGATTGGGAGTTCTCGTAGTAATATGTTCCCTCTCAGGATAAATCTTCTAGTCCCATTATCCCGACGTGAAGAGGAGTCCAGGTATGACTCTGACATAGACCTTGGAGGAGTTGGGGTTGTAGTGGGCTACTTTACCTATGTTCGGATAGGAATGTGATCTGTGAGTGACCATGGGCTCTGGATTCGTTCATAGATCCAGGAAGTGAACTGGGACTAGGAGGCTCATACCCGGATGGTTTGGACCGACTATACCTCATATCAAATAGGCCTAATCCGGATTGGGTCGCATCGGGATTGGGACTGGTCTCTTCCTCATTGTCAGCCCCTTTTTCCTATTTGAGCTAAGGACGGTTTTTTACCCTAACAGTTTGCCCCCCACTCTCTAAGTTAAGATTTTCTTAAGTCAAAGAGTAGGAAGCGATTGAGGCATGTTCGGTCTCCCTTCCTAGACGACCGATTGTCGATGCAGCTGACCAGATTGTTGCAGGTGATTCTTGGTCGAGGGTCGTTCGGTATCCATTACCGATCCAGAGTATGCCATCATCCCAAGGGGGTATGCCTTATCGGTGTGAAGGGCCGAAGGGACGTTCGGTATGTCCCGCCGACTGGAGAAGTGATGTAGCATTCCATAGCTAGGGTGTCCGCTCGGTATGCTGGGTCGAGTGAAGAAAAGATGATATTGCACTTAAGGTTCGTTCGGTCGGGGTACTCGGGTGATCGCGTGGGATAGAATCGACTCGGCCAGCTTGCTAGACCGCGTGAACTGCGCTTGTGGTACCACAGGGCTCTTTACTGGATGCCACAGGGTTGAATAAAATGCGCAAACCCTTGGTTTCCCATTCGTCCGTTATGGAAGACCGAATGGACGAGGTCTCTTGCCTTGATCGCCTTGAGGGGGGATACCAGCTAGACGGTTCCGTGCCAGTCAACCAGTCAGGAGAATCTCCTGGGCCGGTGAAGCATAGGAGTACGTTGGGTCCATATCGGTAGTCACCCGCTGAGTCAGTCGGGAGGACAAGGCGGTTGATCTTGGCTTCCGTACGGTGTTGCAATTTCCTAGGTGTCGTGGATCTCTGCCATGTGTACGGTGATGATGAACCTTTCATTTTGGAAGCGGGAAAACGAAGCGTTGCTCTGACGGTGGGCCAATCGCGAGCTGCCACGTGTCTGCTTTGGTAAGATTTTCCTTATAAAAACGTGGGGGCGGTCTGTTCATCTTCCATTTTGCACTTTCATTTTCTGGGTTTTCTCAAAGGTTTCGGGTTTTCCTTTCACAGCTTTGGAGCTTTACTGGATTTTAACACCATTCCTACAGTAAAATCTCGCTCCTTTGCACTTTTTCCTTTGTGGTTCATCGTTTTTTGTTTCCTGCGTTGTTTCTTGAGGGGACGGGTGGTGTGTGGCGTGGGTTTTGGCTTTGTTTGTTTTTCTCGAAAGGTTTTGCTTGGGTATTAAAGTGTTGGAATTTTGGTTTTCCAGAATAGGCTTGAATTTTTAGGTTTTTGGTGAGTTTCCAGCGGTTTCTGCATGATTTTCGGTATTTTCGGGTTTGAACGAGGAAAGGAAGATGAAGTCGAGTTACGCACTGTCTTGATTCGGCTCGGTCGGTCCGCCTGACCGAATCAAGTGACTAAGGTGAATCTGAGTTATTAGTGGGCAGCTTCTCGTGGGATAGGTAGATCATTCGGTCCATCCGACCGAGTGGTGAGTGGATTGAAAAGGTGATCGGTCATCCAGACTGAATAGGTGGTACGGCAATTTTTAAGTGTTTTGAGTTGGTAAGTCAGTGATCCAAGGCGGGTAGGCTCATAGGGGTAAGCTTAGAAGTGGGTCGGTCGATCGGGGCGAGCGGGTGAGCCTTTCCTGAGTGTAGGACTAGGTCGTTCGATATCAAGGGTCGATTAGTGTTCGGTATTGAAGAGCGAGCAGTGGTAAGTCCTTTTCATCATCGTGCGGTCGGTCGCACGGGGCAAGTAGTGGTCTGACACTTAGGATTTGGAGTTTGATTGTAAGATCGAGTCGGTCAACCGGGTGGGGTGAATAGCTTCAGATGTGGGACTCAGAGTCAGGTAGTTCAAGCGGGGTTATGGCAGATGTTGGGAATGAGTATGAACGTGCCCCCACCATAGTGATGATGCCCGAGGGGGGCGTTCCGATGGGCGTGCCGACTGGTGTTAGTGTAGCTGCCCCAGGGACGAGTGCTACCGATCCAAGTGGTTCGGGCAGGCATGGGGGAAGTAGGGAAGACTCCGGAGGAGCTGGTAGTCCATTCTCGTCAAGTAGTAGCTCTGAGGAAGAGCCGAGCCAACAGGGTAGCGGGATTCTGACTAGGGATTATCCGCCCGTGCTGAAGGACAGCGACGTGTGGCGCATCCTGACTTTGTATCACATTTCGAGTTCGGTTAAGATCTGTGCGCCACAGTCGTACGAGAAGGTTGATTGGGAAGCAAAAGGCTGGGTGAGTGTTTATGAGAAGTGGTTCCACGATGGGTTGAGGTTACCTATCCCTCGCCTCGTCTGGGAGGTGCTGAACCACTTCATGATTGCCCCATCTCAGATTATGCCGAACGGTTGGAGGTTGCTTATGGCTCTGGAGGACCTCTATGTTCGAAACCAGGTGATGTTCGGGCCGCACGAGCTGTTATACTTGTACTTTCTGAAAGAGAACGACAAAGAGAATGGTCGGTATCTGATAAACCTGAGGCATGATCGATCTTACCTGGTGACTGACCTGCGGTCCAGCGA